GATTTCAGATTTTTTTTTTTTTTCTCCCCCTCAGAACCATCCACTGTCAATGCTTGTCGTAGTTTGTCAGAACTTTTTGACATAAAGTCCAAGTAATATAGCTTCCCTTGCCTAATACCATAACCAATCATTTGTTTTGTTTGGATGTCTTTAAACACACAAAAATTAGGCCAAAAAAATACAACACAAGATAAAGCTGTGGTTATTTGGGAAATTGACAAAAGATTATAATCCAAAGATGGAACAATTAAAACATAATCTAAATACAGGTTATCAGTGAGTGTCAAAGATCCTTCCCCAATAACTGGGGCAGAAGTACCATTGGCTATAGAAACAAATTTTTGTGAGGATGAATTAAGAGGTGAGACCTGTCTAGAATCAAATGTCATATGATTTGTGACACCAAAATCAATTATCCATGCACTATTAGCAACAGGTGTAGAAATATGTAAAAACTTACCATCATTATCTGCAGTTACTACCAACCCCAAGGCCTTTTTAGCATCATCATCCTCTGTCTTAACACCTGCTGCAGTGGAAGTCTTCGTCGAATTCTTCTTTCTACGGCTATGTTCCCACCATTCCGAATATCCCACAAGTTCGAAACAACGAATTTTGGTATGACCGGTCTGATTGCAATGGGTGCATTTGTAGGTAGACTTATCTGCACCATTGGTGGCTTTGGGCTTAGTATGGTCTTGCCAGTTTTGCTTAGACCGGTTTCGAGCCATCATGACTAAAGCTTCAGAGTTTTTGGACTCCCCTTTCAGAGTTGCACGACGTACCGCTTCTCGTCAAACCAAAGAATAGCATCCTTCTAAGTCTGGAACTTAATCTTTGCGTAGAATCTCTCCACGAACTTGTTCAAAATCACTATCTAATCCACCAAGAAAGATATGATCCGATACGCTTCAATGTCATCCGGATCTTTCATGACCACTGTATCTCAATGGTCCATTTCTCGGAAGACCTCAGTTATTTCCCCATAATATTCAGATAGACATTTTCCATTTTGTTTGGCAGTGAAGGTTGATGTGTGTTTTTATTTATCAATAATAAAATACTACTCACAACAGCACAAATCCCTATAGGATAGGGCTATGTTGAGGGTGTCGAATCTCAAGGACTGTGGTGGTTTATCAAGTCTTCAATTAATACTATTTTAATTTAGAAAGAGGATTTAATTTTGTGTAACTGATGCAATTCAATAACATAAAAGAAAGTAAACGGAATAAAAGGATTGAGATCAAGAGAAGAAATACTTAGGAATTGACTTTACCACGATTCGCCTACTATGGTCAACTGTTCAACCTTGGGATTTTAATAATTATGTATTATATGAAATTAAACTCAATAACATTCATTTAATTCAGATTTAAAGAAAGATGTTTTATAAATTTCAATTAACTATAACCTATTTTCGGTTGGCACGAATTATCTACCTACCTACTTCTAACTAATTTTACAGTATAACTCGTCTTCCCTAAGCATAGACTATGAAAACATTCATTCATGAAAAATGTTTGAACACCATTGCATGATCTCCATTCTTATATTCGATAGGCCTCCACCAAATACCGTCCAATAAGAATGGGTTGAATATAATTTAAAAAATAATTAAATCTAAGACAAGGTATTAATCATTCAAAAACTATTTAATAATTAAAATCCAATTGAATTAAATCAATTGCCCATAATCATGCAATCAAATACATAATATATTAAATTTCCAAAGTACAGAACAATCAAACCATAGAATTCAGATTCGGGTTACATCAATGCCCTAAGAGAGGAATTAATTACTCATGACAATGCAAGATATCACCTGTATTGTTGTGGTCTTCATCGCCATGGACCTCCAAAACTCCTTTCTGATCTTCTTTTTCAAAACCCTAAAAGTCACCGTGAGAGAGAGATTGATGGATGAAAGAGATTTTATGTGGCCTTCTCCTCTTCTTTTATAGTGGAGAACAAGTCTTAATCCCATTTGGATTGGTTTTACAGCTTTTGGTAACAATTGTGGCCATAAAGAAACAAAGAGGAGTCAAAATATATAATTCCCATATGTATTTTTAACCTTCAGGACGTCAGAGCTCGAGCTCTGGAGTCCTAGGCTCGGGCTCCACCTGCCAATAACTTGTTCTGACTTTATAATGCGATTTTGACATATTTAGAGCGTGAATGTCGAGATGGCTATTAGAAACAAAAACATTGGGCTTTGAGTCTTCTTTCCAGACCCGCTAAGTTTGCTCAATTTGGAGTTTTGACTCAAAAGTTATACCTAAAATACTGAAGCAGGTCTAGAGTTTTCAGCAATGCTCGAGCCCTGAGTGGTTGTGCTTGAGCTTTCTAAGTTGGGCTCGAGCTTTGAAGTTTGGGCTCGAGCTCTGGGAGCAAAATTTGTCCAAAACATCTTTTTATTGTTGGTGCTCGATCCTCTCTTTATGGTGCTCGATCCCAAGGTGTTGGGCTCGAGCTTTGGGGCTGTGGGAAGTGTTAGTGCTCTATCCCTGAGGCTTGGCACGAGGTCCTGGGAGCTTGGATCAACATTTCACATTCTGACACATTATGTGCTCGAGCTTTTAGGAAAAGGCTCGAGCACCCTACAGTTGGGCTCGCGCTTTCTTGCATTTGGAATTTCTTGTCTTTTTCTGCTGAGCTCGAGCCATAGAACTGAGGCTCGAGCTTCTGAACTTGAAACTCCCTAAAATTCATCATTTTGACTCTCAGCTTGCTTTGAATGACCGACAACGACTCGATAAACTTCTTTATCATTATTTTCATCATAAAAGCCTGGTTTTAACCGTTTCTTTGGGAAAGTACCTAAAAACACGAAATACACAAAAATCAGTCCAACAATGGATAGAAGTATCACTTTAGGTTTTAACATACGTATATTTAAGGGCTCGAATATGTAATATTCAGCGCTCATCACACCCCCAAACTTACATATCGCTAGTCCCTTAGCAATACAGAACTAAAAAACCGCTTTCGTGGGAATCACGGTTGCATTTAGCTTATGCAACAAGCCTTTAAATCCCTAGGTTACTCCTAGTGGACAAGTTGTAATTTCGTGAGGGTTTCCAGTGATGATACCCACAAACATCCAAAATCAGTGCCTTACTTACACAATAAGCTTATTCAAACATGTTTTCACATCATAATGTCCCAGCAGTTCATCAATCAGTCAAATACAATACGTATAACAAACTATATTAATCAGGAAAAATTTCAAACTTTCGATCTCAATTTAATAACCATGGTCCCCACATGTCAATTTAATCATTTATTCAATAATCTCAATCTCCAAAATCCTTTTTAAAAGTGAACTCATAGTTTCAAATATGTGGCTTACTATCCATACTTGTATTTATTCCATGATATCCCTCAATTTACACGCAAACTTTTCAAATTCCAATTTCCAAGGTATTTTTTTTTTTCTTATTTTTGACAGGTATGCATTTTTCAAAAAGGTACTGTGCAATGTTCAGGTCTATTAAGCTTTCTAAATCACCCATGTAACGAACTTTCGGCTAATGACTCCCAAACCAGATGGTTTTAGGGCATTAAATGTTAAAGAACCCTTTTGGACTTAATTGTTCAAGTACTCTAGGCAACCTAAACCCCTTATGTATAAGCTTTCAGCTAATGACTCCTAAACCAGATGGTTTTAGGGCATTAGGTGTTAGAACACACCCCTAAGGACTTAATTGCTCAAACAATCTAGGTACAGACCTGAACTTGACCATTTTCTACTTCTTTTCTTCATTTTTTTTTTTATTTATTTCTTTCACATTGGTGAAGAATTTTTTTCATTCATTGCATAACCAATTCTTTCTTTTCTTTCAATATTTTTTTATACCTTGGTTATCAAAATCATCAAATTCACCTGCTTATCTCAGTTTAACACAAAACAAAACAAGACTTCAAGTTTTATACCCCACAAAATTCATGCAAGGGTGAATATGTGCAAAGTAAAGTATCTTAGAGATCAAAATCATCAAACAATTATCATCCTAATAAAGTGGACCATAGGCCACCAACTGATTTCAAAAATTCCTTTTCAACATAACATTGTCATGCAAGCCATCTCTAACCAACATCAGACTGAATAGATACATCATAACAATCAATAGACTCAAAATCATGCGTAAACAGTTAAATTGCAACCTCTTGTGCCTTTTTAACAACATAATTTTAAAGGACACTACCTTACCCCCAACTTCAGATGCACATTGTCCTCAATGTGTGAAAACAAAGTAGAGATAGAAAGATATTACCAAATGCACAGATCAGCAAAGGTCATGAATTATAGCACAGAAGGGCAAAAATAGGTTTCTCACCCCCAAACTTGGTCCTTAGCACTTGACAAAACAATTACACTCCAACACATATTAGAGTACCAGGTATTTGGAGTAAAACAAATATATATCAATATGCACAAGTCAAAACTTTTTTTTTGATTTTATTAATATTTTTTTTTCATAACAAACCTAAACTAACATAATCTAAAAATAAAAGAAAAATACACAAATAAACTAAAAACTTAGAAAATAAAATAAACCGAAGAAAAAGAAAATAAATAAATCAAATAAATCAAATCAAACTAAAATACAAACCTACAAGTGCTAAGTTTAACGTCAATAGCTCGACAGCATGCTAAGTTTAACGTCGATAGCTCGACTGTACACCACTCCTTAGCCTGTATCCAACAATTCAACTACCTCCCTCATCCTAAAATCAGTCCTATGGGTGATTATGAAATTCGAAACATGAGGAACCAATGTGGTTCCATCAAGACCCAAGAAAGAATACTCAAGCTTATTTGGTGGTGGCTTAGGCTCAAGTTTGTGAGAAAACTCACAAGAAGGTCAAGGAAGATTCGAAATCAACGGAGGAAGATCTTTTGTTGGAAAGATGGTGACTGAATCCTCATCAATGACATCACGAAAGAAGCACTCATCTTTCTCTGAGGAATATGGAGTGGCATTGAAGATGTTTTATTTGAGCTTCATGTTCCCAAGAGAAATATCCATAGCCCCAGTCCTACAGGTAATGTTGGCATTCACTATAGCTAAAAATGGACGACCAAGGATCACAGGAATATATCTATTGAGATCGTGAATAGGTTCTGTGTCCAAGACAAGAAAGTCAAACGAAAAATAGAACTTATCCACTTTAATGAGAACATCTTCAATTATCCCACGTGGTTGCTTCATAGATAGATCAGCAAGTTACAACACCATTAACGTGGGTTTAAGCTCTCCCAAGCCTAATTGTTCATATACCGAGTAAGGAAGAAGATTGACACTTGCTCCAAGATCAAGAAGTGTTCGGTCTATGACATTGTTTCCAATAATACATGAGATGATAGAAGCACCAAGATTTTTGAACTTAGGAGGAGTACTGTGCTGAATGATTGCACTAACTTGCTCAGTAAGATAGATTTTCTTAGAGACTTGGCTTTTTGATTTTCTCTTTTAAGTGCACAAGTCTTTCAGAATTTAGCATAGACAGGGATTTGATTGATAGCATCTAGGAGATGAATATTTACTTTTACCTGTTTGAAAACATCCATCATGTCTTGGATTTTCTCTCCTTGCTTACCAAAATAAGAGGGTCCCTTGAGACGTTCAGGAAAAGGCGTTCTTGGCTCATAAGCTGTCTTAAGGTTGGCAGTAGATGAAGAAGTGACTTCACCTTCAACTCCTTTAAAGCTCGATGGAGTAGAATGTGAGGGAACATCTGTAGGATGTGAAGTTGGAAGAATGGGATTGATAAGAATCCTACACCTCTCTTTTTCTACCTTTTTTTCCTCAACTTGATTATCAATGATTTTTCCACTCCTCAAATTGGTAATGGCATTAACTTGCTCATAACAAGTACTTGAAGGATTAGTCTCATCAATCATGTAAGTTTGCCTGACTGGATTTGCAATTAGCTGACTAGGCAGCTTTTCTTCCTCTCTTTAAGTCAACACTTTAACTATTTTCCCAACTTGAATCTCTATCTTAGCTATTGATTGGGAATGGGAATGTACCAATTGAGCGGTTGAATTAAAGTCGTTAATTACAGCCAAAACCTTCTCTTCAAATCCAAACGAGTACTTAAGAGGAGGATGATCTGGATTAGCTTGGTTTCTAAATTGAAGAGGACAGTAGATGGAAGATTGATTGAAAGAATTATTTTGCAAAGGATTGGATGAATTATGGTACTGTCCCTGAGATTGGGGAACAGTATTGCCTTGGCTTTGATTCTGCCATGATATATTGGAATAATCTCTCCAGCCAGGGTTATAAGTATTGGAATTTGGATTGTAACCCGAACTAGAGAATGTAACATTGGTTTGCACTTGTGGATTTTCAAAAGAATGACCTAAGAGAGGATTACTGGCAGCATATGAGATGGACTAGTGCAGACAGAACACACCTCCTCTGGTAAAGAGAAGTGCTGAGAAGAACTAATAATACTGACAGTTGACAAAACTTAGTCAAACTTTCTGTTCAATACTTCCATTTGAGTGGCAAGCTCTCTAATTTTTTTTGCTTCATACAAACTTTCAACCTTATGGATACCAGGAGTGGATCTAGACCTAGAGGAAGAAGCATGTTGTACAGAATTTTCACTTAGGGCCTCAAACAGTTCCCAAGCATCATCTGGGCTCTTATGTAGGAAATCACCATTACTAGAAGCATCTACCATGTTCCTATATGGATCAGTTAATTCATCATAAAAGATTTGCACCAAATGCCATTTAGCAATATCATGGTGTGGACACTTTTCTCAGAAGATCATTGTATCTCTCCCAAGTATCATAAAGTTGTTCACCAGGGATTTGGGAGAACGTCATGATCTCTCTTCTCATTTGTGTGGTTTTACCCACAGTGTAGTATTTTTTCAAGAACTTTTGTTGCATCATGTTCCAAGTAGATATGGAATTAGGTGGAAGGGAATGCAACCAGGTTCTTGCTTTATCCTTGAGAGAGAACTGAAAAAGTTGCATCCTAAATGCATCATCGGAAAAAGTGGACAACTTGGTAGTTGAACATAACTCCAAAAACACATTCAAGTGCGTATAAGGATCCTCTGTTACAAACCCATGGAATGCAGGAAGCATTTGGATCATAGCAGGCTTGATCTCAAAGTGGGTTGTATCAGAATTTGGGAATACAAAGTACGAAGGGGATGTATATGAAGTGGGAATGAAGTGATCCCTCAATTGTTGTAGAGGAACAGGTGCTTGTGGCACATGTGTCCCATTTGTATTATCACCATTATTAGCCATGTCTGATTTAGAGAATTTTGCTAACAATTTAGGCTAAGTACAATGATAACAAGTAGTGACAAAAAGAAAAATTTCAAGTGAAGAAAAACAACAAAAATCACGAAAGGTCCTAAAATTGAAGTTTCTATTCCTTAGGCGTCTTCTTCCTCGCTGCTAGATTCCTTCACTTGAAAAGAAAAAGAAATAAGATGAGCTATCAGAAAGTCCTAAAATTATAAATTAAATTAGAATTAATCTCGAACTCAACAAATCCGTGACATAGTCCCAGGCAACGGCGCCAAAAATTGATGTGTGTATTTATTTAACAATAATAAAATACCACTCGCAATAGAACAAATTATTGTAGGATAGGGCTATATTGAGGGTGTTGAACCTTAAGAACTATGGTGGTGTATCAAGTCTTCAATTAATACTTTAATTTAGAAAGAGGATTTGATTTTGTGTGTGTGATGCAATTCAATAATATAAAAGAAAATAAACAGAATAAAATGATTGAGATCAAGAGAAGAAATACTTAGGAATTGACTTCACCACAATCTGCCTACTATGGTCAACTGTTCAACCTTGAGATTTCAATAATTATGTATCATACGGAATTAAACTCAATAACATTTATTTAATTCAGATTTAAAGAAAGATGCTTCATGAATTTCAATTAATTATAACCTATCTTCGGTTGGCACGAATTATCTACCTACCTACTTTTAACTAATTTTGCAGTATAACTTGTCTTCCCTAGGCATAGACTATGAAAACATTTATTCATGAAAAACGTTTGAACATCATTGTATGATCTCCATTCTTATGTCCGATAGGCCTCTACTAAATACTGTCCAATAAGAATGGGTTGAATATAATTTAAGAACAATTAAGTCTAAGACAATGTATTAATCATTCAAAAACTATTTAATAATTAAAATCCAATTGAATTAAATCAATTGCCCATAATCATGCAATCAAAATACATAATATATTAAATTCCCAAAGTACAGAACAATTAAACCATAGAATTCAGATTCGGAGGAATTAGCTACTCATGACGATGCAAGATATCATCTGTGTTGTTGTGGTATTCATCACCATGGACCGCCAAAACTCCTTTTGGATCTTCTTCTTCAAAACCCTAAAAGCCACCGTGAGAGAGAGATTGATGGATGAGAGAGATTTTATGTGGCCTTCTCATCTTCTTTTATAGTGGAGAACAAGTCCCAATCCTCTTTAGATTAGTTTTACAGCTTTTGGTAACAATTGGGCGTATAAGGAAACGATGAGGAGTCAAAATATATAATTCCCGCATGTATTTTTAACCTTCAGGATGTCAAAGCTCAAGCTCTGGAGTCCCAGGCTTGAGCTCCACCTACCAGCAACTTGTTCTGACTTTGTAATGCAATTTTGACATATTTAAAGTGTGAATCTCGAGATGGCTATTAGAGATAAAAACAGCGGGCTTTGAGTTTTCTTTCCAGAGCCACTAAGTTTGCTCAATTTGGAGTTTTGAGTCAAAAGTTATGCCCAAAATACTGAAGCAGGTCCAGAGTTTTTAACAATGCTCGAGCCTTGAGTGGTTGTGCTCGAGCTTTCTGAGTTGGGCTCGAGCTTTGAAGCTTGGGCTTAAGTTTTAGGAGCAAAATTTGTCTGAAACGTCTTTTTATTGATGGTACTCGATCCTATCTTTATGGTGCTCGATCCCAAAATGTTGGGCTCGAGCTCTAGGGCTGTGGGAGGTGTTAGTGCTCGATCCCAAAATGTTGGGCTCGAGCTCTAGGGATGTGGGAGGTGTTAGTGCTCAATCCCAATGTGTTGGGCTCGAGCTCTGGGGCTGTGGGAGGTGTTAGTGCTCGATCCATGAGGCTTAGCACGAGGTCCTGGGAGCTTGGATCAACTTTTCACATTCCGACGCATCATGTGCTCGAGCTTTTAAGCTAAGGCTCGAGCACCCTGTGGTGGTTGGGCTCGAGCTTTGAGGGTCAGGGCGGCTCGAGCTTTCTTGCCTTTGGAATTTCTTGTCTTTTTCTACTGAGCTTGAGCCATAGAACTGAGGCTCGAGCATTTGAACTTGAAAGTCCCCAAAATTCACCATTTTGACTCTCAGCTTGCTTTGAATGACCGGCAACGACTCGATAAACTTTTTTATCATTGTTTTCATCATAAAAGCCCGGTTTTAACCGTTTCTTTAGGAAAGTATCTAAAAACACGAAATACACATAAATCAATCTAATAATGGATAGAAGTATCACTTTAGGTCTTATCATACGTATATTTAGGAGCTCGAATATGCAATATTCAGTGCTCATCAAAGGCCTTTTGGTTCAAGGCGAAAGCTTGCAACTCATCATTCCCATCATAAAAGGCCTTTGATAGAGCACTCCAGATTTCGTGGGCAGTGAGTAAGCGTAAATAATGCTTAATAATTTCTGAAGTCATGGACATTAATAGCCACCACTTCACTTTTTGATTTTCGGCATACTACTTTTCATATCCATCTTCTGATTTAGCAGGTGGCTTAGTGTTGCCACGAATATAGGAGAGTTTCTCCTTTTCAGCAATATGCATCTCCATCAGTTGGGACCAAACGCCATAATTTGATTCAGTAAGACTAATCCCTGCATTAAAACACCTTCAGATTGAACAAAAATAGGAACTGACTTTGTCCCAGATGATTTAATATTTTTTTCACTCATTTATATATATATATATATATATATATATATATATATAAAATAAAAAACAAAAGATTCAAAAAAATAACAGATTCAACTAGAATCTGGGATGGCCGCGATGGCAGAGATCTGGCGATGGCTGATCCAGATTTGGCGACGGCAGATCGCCAGCAGCGGTGCAGCGGTTTGGTTCGGCAGCGTCGTCGTCGTTTGGAGAGTAGCGTTGTTGTCGTTGTTTGGAGATAGCGACGGCTAGGGATACCAGCTGTTCGGCGGTTCTGGGCTGTAGGTCCGGCGTCGGCTATGGACGGTGCAGAGGTTCAGCTGCGGCTTATGATAGGTCTGTTGTATGTGTATGGGTATGTGTATATGTATGGGTCTGTGAATTTATGTGTATGTGTATGGTTTGTTGTATGAATGTATATGTATGTGTATAGGTCTGTGTATGGTTCAATGAATTTCAAAAATAAATTCAAAGAGATTTAAAGGTACGGTTCAAGGATGGCTTTGATACCATCTTGCAATTCAGAGAATGAATACAAGAATTAAAATTATATTCAATATATTCACTAATGGTGTTACATTCAATTTATAGAATAAGACATAGTTAAAATAGGTAACTAATTATACAATAATCAGGAAACTAATTACCTACCAATTAGCCATAAATTAAGGAATAAATAATTCATTCCTATAATTGTACAATCTGTATAATCCCGAATTATAAGGGATAAAATCTCAACATCTATCTATATGAATTTCTTGATTCATATTTGCTATGAATTTTTTGAGTCAATTAATCAAAAGCCTAAACCTGATCAATCACCAATTCTCTCTCTTTTTATATATATATATATATATATATATATATATATATATATATATATATCAATCAGCCAAGAACTTGAAGGAAAAAAAAATAACAATCACAACCACCATCAGCAGCTTCTTCTTCTTCCTCTTCTA